GAGCCGGGCCGGGGCGCTGCGGGGAGGACATCGCGCTGTGCCCCCTTCCCCGGAGGGGGAAGAGACCTTCCCGCTCTCCCCGGCCGGCGGGCCCGCTCCTCCCGCCTCGCAGCGCTTTTGTGCCCGGTCGCCGCCGCCTCCCGCCGTCCCAGGCTTCCCTGCAGCCTCTCCCCGTCACCCCCCCTGCACGGCCGGGCCGCCGGGGCCCTGCGGTCCCCCCTCGCCTTCACCAGCCCCTTCCCGTTAAACCTGCCGGCTCTCGGCTGCCGGAGCCCCCTCCTCCCGCCCAGCCTTTGTCTGCGGCAGGGTGGTGCCTCAGCTCCCGGCCCTGCCTTCCCGGAGGGGCAAGGCATGGGCTGCTGCGGCTGCTCGTCTTTTCTGGATGCTGCTTCAGGACCAGAATCTTTTTTTTCGAGGGAGCCGGTGGTCAGCCAGCAACGTCTGCTTGCTCCGGGGAGCCGGGCTCTCGGCAGAAGCACTGATGGGTGATCACTGCTGGATGATAGATTCTAGTTGCCCGCCATCAACATTTTGGATCATTTGTCGGTTTTTTTTTAATGAAGTATTGGAAATTTAAATTCCATTTGCAGTGTTAGAACTGTCACTCATGGGTAAAATGTTGATTTGTTGCCTAATCCTAGACATTTCCGAAGGGTGCAAGCCTGAGGTCTGCTGAAACACAGAACAATGCATAGAAATATGTAAGTCAGTTTCCCATTGTACTGGCTAGGCGTGCATCAGCCACACAGTGCTGACTGCCTCTGCGTTTGAGATAAGTTTTGGATGCTATTATTAAGGTCTCAGATAATTTCTGGTATAGGTTTATGGTATTGCTGTTTTCAAGGAGATTTCCTGATTCGTAATTCTCACAGACCCCTGCCCCTACACTACTATCCCAGTATCCCAGGTAATTATGTTATCTGGATAATGACATGCTTTTACTTAAACACACACAAAGACCAGGGGAGATGATTGGAGGCATAACCACGAATACCATAATCTTAAAGCAAGGAAATCCCACTGGGTTGGGGTTTCCATATTTTTCATATATAAGTAAATACAATGATATCATTCAGGGTACTTGCTTTCATAGAGTGATAGAGACAGGGCATCTAATGATCCCTTAAAAAATCAGCTGAATGAAGTTTCATTCAGATTTTCTTAGTGTCTGTATCGGCTGTCTGTTTGTATTGAGAAGTTTCTGTAGACTGTAGATTTTAGATGTGCTTTGATACATCCCAGTGAGCTCTGGCTCTTGACAAAAGCAATTTTATGCAGAGTTACTCAGAATGTTACTTCTGTTTCTCATTTTGCAGAAGAAAACCTACACTTAGAGATAAATTACAGGGCAAGGCTAAGAATCTTCCTGAAACAACAAGCGACAATAAGGTTGTAGTTTGCATTGTCACTTTTTCCCCCCAGGTTTGGACTCTCACTGCATACAGAGCTGCTTTAGGCATTTTTCCTTGTTTGTTTTCAATAAAATATTTATTGGCTTTCCATGGGAGAAGTTTCAACAGCTGCTTTTAAGTCCAGCCAAGTACCTACAGTGATGTGCTTTGTAAGTTTAAAGCTATGGCTTTATGGCTCACATACGTGCATCAGAAAAGATCATCTTCCTACCCTTTTTCTGGTTTAGTATTTCTGAAAAAAATCCCAGACTCTGCCCCATCCTTTTGTTTAACATTGCTGAGCAATGGGGATTTGGTTCCTTCACCCAGGTACTTGGCTGACCACATTTTGGTCATGCAGTGGAAGACTGATAGGGTTTGGGAATCCTAAGGCTATAATCTTCCCTCTTACAGCCTTTTGTTGTCAGGAGTCATTGTGTATTTTGCATGGAAAAGCTAACAGGACTGAGTTTTGTGGGGTTTTATCTTTCTTTTTCTTTTTTTTTTTCTGCCCTTTTAAAATAGCTTTTCTGCAGTGCTTTCTGGTGACCTCATTGCAAGGGCATTGAACAGGCTTTATTTTGGCAGTCCTCTACCCTGCAGAAATTTGATGGGTGCCAAACCTTTTTGTCACCTTTGGGTGCGCTTGCATTTGCGGAGCTAATAATTCATATATGTTCCCAACACATTCCCACTTACATGAGTCGAGTATGCTTTTTAGGTATGAAGCATCAGTTGAAAGTGTATGAACTGGAGGTGATACTGAATATGTCAAGTGACACTACAGCCTGGTTGGCTCGATGTAAAAGGGCTGAGTCGTGCTGACAGCGCTTGCAGTCCCTGAGAGTAGAACAATGCACCGTTGCTGCGTATACAGTACATTTCTGCCAGGCTGTCCATGCAGAGGAGCTGGGAAGAAGAGTTCCCATAAGGTCCCAGGGTTTTCTTTCCTGCAAAGAGTATGTGTTTGCATAATGGAGAGGAATGTGGATGGAGGATTGACCAACAGGGGAAAATCCAGTGAAAATGGGTGCAGGAGGTCTATGGTAGGGTTGGCTGGGTGTGGGGTGTTGCGGGGGGAAGAAGCTACTTGGATTGGGGAATCTAAGTTAGTTTGTGGGGAGGAGGCAGTGAATGCAGAATTAAATGGAGTTGCTGGTAGGGTGTAGTAGACGATGAAAGTATAAGGGAGAGAAGACTGTATGTGGAAGACATGCCTGAGGAAAAGCTGGTGATGATCCAGGCAAGAGTTGACAGGATGAAAATGACAGGACTGAGCGGGGGAAAAAAAAAAAAAAAGTATGTGCAGGGTTGGGAGATTCGTTAGATTCGTTAAGGAAAGGACAATGATGGAGGTAGGAAGATTTGGGAAACCAAGAGAGATTGGAAGAGGGATGGGCATTAGTTTCCTTGAAGCTCTAAAGTCCGGGGGAAAAAAAAAAAAAAGGTATGTGCAGGGTTGGGAGATTCGTTAGATTCGTTAAGGAAAGGACAATGATGGAGGTAGGAAGATTTGGGAAACCAAGAGAGATTGGAAGAGGGATGGGCATTAGTTTCCTTGAAGCTCTAAAGTCCAAGGACAAATGCAGTGAAGAGTGCAGAAACTGCACAGAGCGAGATGGTTCTTGTGCCAGAAATAAGTAACAGGGAATGAGGTGCTGCTCCCAGCCCCAGCGTGCCGGTTGCCTTCCTGCAGATGTCCTGCGGAGTTCCTGGGTGGGTGGTATAGCCTTTCCTTGCTCTGTCTGTACTGTTTGTGTTGCAGCATTTTTTACTTGCTTGCTTGCTGTATTTTTATTGAACAAGGCTGTAATGTTTTGGTTTAGGACATGTGAATTTTTTGAAATGGATAGGAATAAGGAACCATTCCCGTATGGTGTGTGTCTCACTCTCCATGGCTCGTCCCCTCCCCTGTCACAAAGCCATCACTTAATTTGATTTTGGGAGTATTTCTGACTGTGAACAAATAAAGGGACGCAGACTCCATGGACCGAGAAGTTCCTTGCCATATTAAAGAGAGAGCGCCATGTAGTCTGGTATTACCTACCACATGATGTTATTCTAATTTCTAGTAATTTTCACACCTATCATAATTGTATGCCTTGATTTAATAAACTTAGAAGATGAAGATTCAGGGGTCTCATTTTAGCCTCATTTGATCAAGAGAGACAGCTATTTGGGCCCCTTTTGAGCTCCAGGGTCATGATGTTCATGTAAATAATAGATACATTTAACCTTATTATGTTATATCTTACTGTGCTTGATCTTTGCAGACTTGGCTGTCTCTCCTTGCATCTCTTTTAGGAAATTTATAAGAGCAAAGTTGTTACTGGGGTCTCTAAGTCTTAGAAAATTGTGAAGTGATTTAATATTTGGCTGCTGAGTTGGAAATTAATACACGATTGTTTTGGAAGATTATTGCTTCTTTGCTACAAGGCGGTGTTAGATAGCTTGTCAACATTTGTTACCTTAACAAAAGGAGATCTTAATCATGATATCTTTTCTTATGTATTCGGGTTTTCCAGTACTTGCCACCAGATTGCTTGGGAACAAGACTCACTTTTTCGCATTTACAGCAAATGTGATACATTTTCATCTTAGTAGGTTACTGGCATTGCTTTGCATTCTTATGAAAAGATTTATCTATTTGGAGTCCCTGCTGAGTGCCACGGAGCTATGGGGAAGAATACTAATAAACAGTTACTTCCAGGAATAACTGCTAATCCTTTAATGTTTTTCAAGACATTTCTATTATGGCTTGAAGCTTTTATTTTTCTAGATCTGACAAGCATGTCTTTTAAATCTGAAGCAGGGAAAAGAAAGCACCAGTCTCCAGGTCTCAGTGATGCAATTCTAAAATGCTAAAATTCTAAACAATGCTGGGTTTTATGTGAATTTTCTTTTTTTCTCTTCCCTCTCGGAGAAGGCTTTGTTTTTAAATATATATTTATCAAGCAGTAGGTTTTTTAAATTACTTATCACCGCTTCAGTATGCAAATGCTGAAAGGCATATTACATTCCATAAATAGCAAATGCCACTACAGTTTGGGTTTCTATCAGACTCGGAGGCTTAGTCCTCCAAACCACTGAGTATTAGTGGTGAGTTGATTAGCATGGAATTTATATGCTTAAAATGTCGCAGGATTAAAAACTGGGGTTTAATAGATATGGCTATTAAAATATATATTCAAAATTATTTGGCTTGATATTCTAGAAAGACAAGAAAGTATGCATAGTATGATTTTAAATATGGAGCAATCCATCGTGTTAAATTACAGAGAAAAAAATAAAGAAGGGCTTTAGTCTTTCTGCCGGCAGACTTGAGGGAGGGGCCGTGAGGCGAGGCGGGTTCAGCACCGGAGTTCGGGACAGCGGCATTTGAGGGACCACAGAATTGTCCATTTAAAATGTGGGATATAAAGCAAATGACAAGTTTTGCTGTTCTTCGTGTCGTGGCATATTCCAGTGACACAGTCAGGATCCAGTGTAGGCCCAACTTGAGATCCTAGTGTTCCATGTAATACTGTATTTTATAGACTATTAGTAGGCGTGCGTTGTAACAATTAAAATAATTTGCTCATATGGCGAAAATAAAATCCAAGGTTAAATGAGAATACTGGCCGAATGTGCTTTACGTTCTGAGGTATTATAAAACATTAGATATTCTGAGAAATAAAATAATTTTAGCACCTCAAACTTAGAAATGAGTGATTTCATGTCAAGAAGTTGAAATAGATGGAAAGAAACTGTATATATTTTTTCTGTGGATGCATATGATAGTTCTCAGTGTACAAACATACAGTTTGTAGAATAGTGAATCACTTGATTGTTTATTAAATGAGTTGTACTCAACTGCATCATTAAAGTGGGTATTACTATATTTTAAAACCATTCCATGCACTTCTTAACATGTGAAGACAAGAATTCACAGAAACAGGTTGAAATATGTAGCTGAAATCTTGTGTTATTACTTCATTTTTGGTTTGTTTGTTTTTTTTTTTTTTTTTTTTTCTTCTAAGCTAAATGAAAATAATGACCATAACTTTTTTTTTTCCTTTCTGTTTCTAGGGGTTGATACAAAATTGAAATTCACTCTTGAACCATCTTTAGGTCAAAATGGCTTTCAGCAGGTAATGTGATTCTTTTTTTTCTCTTGTGTTTGTGAAGGACTGGGTTCTGTTCAATCTCGCTCTCATTCAAAAGTGCATCTGTCATCATAATGTCAGCTTATTATTTGCAATTGCATCAAGAGCTGTTCCATTGGAACACTGGAACATTTGGAAAAATAGGTGTTCATTGTTTACTCAGATATCTCATAAGTCTTTGTGTCCTAGAATATTGCATTTTTGTTACATCATGGAGTAACTAATCTACATTTTTTCCTGTGAGTGGATTAAGTAGTTAAACTCTGAAATATGTGCAGTAAAATGAAATGAATTGCATGTCTGCAGTGTTGTAAATGTTGCCATATGGCTGCATTACACTAACGGTGGATTTTATAAATTTTTGGATGCTTTTGCTTTTAGTGGCATGATGCACTCAAAGCAGTGGCCAGATTGCCGACAGGCATACCGAAAGAATGGCGGAGAAAGGTAGGTGGACGTGTACATAGGGCATGTTGCCTGTGGGTTTCTCAGTAGAGGTGAATAACATCGATGTTATCAGTGTTTTTTAACAAATATTTGGAAATTTTAAGTTGTATTGGGGATTTTTCCGAGTTTATGTTTTTCAGTGATAACCTCGCAGGGCAGCCGGAGAGAACGAGGAGACAGGTAAAGATGGTGTTTTCAATAGTTGGGCTCTTTCTGCTTGAGGCTGAGGTAACTTACTCTGGTGCAGATGTTATCTCTTCATTCTGTCAGGCTCAAGGAATTGCACTGGGGAAGCTGCCCCCGCAGCTGAAGATCGACTGAAAGGAGAGCAAATCTCCAGTGTAGGCTGTCATACTTATGAAGGTGAAGCTGATAGGTGCTGGTGCTGACAGCCATGCTCACGGAAATATTTGATGGGGGAAAGGCAGATTGCCTAAATTAGGGAAGTTCAGAGTCAGGAGTGATGTAGAATGGTGATGTAAAAATTTTGCCATTAATGGGAAATTGCACTGAGTTAGTGTTGTAGGAAAGGGTCCACTCAGATTTTGCTAAACTTATTTTATTGCTTTCTTCAACAATGTTTGAAGTTCCCTAACCTAAAAAGTGTCATGTCTGTTCATCTTTTCTATAAAATGTGTCACACAATCTCAGCTTTAAAAATGCAATTTTAATAAAAAGAATATTTTTAAAGCTTTATAAAAGATATTTAGTTCCCTATATTTTTGGTGCATCAGATTAATTTCCTTCTTATTGCTGTCTTTCCAAACTGAACTGTTCCTCTTTATAAATCAGAGGGGAAGGAAATGGAAGACTTATAGTGGCATTGTTTTCCTCACACCACTATGATTTTATTTTTAATCTATGACTCCAGTGGATCATTATATCCTTCTAATGGCTGTTTTTCTTTCCCAAAATGTTCTTTTTCCACCCTCCAGTATGTCTCTCAGTCACTTTTCTGTGGTACATTAGTGGCAAAGGTCATAGAATCACAGAATGGTTAAGGTTGGTAGAGACCCCTGGAGGTCATCTGGTCCACCCCCCTGCCCAAACAGAGCCACCTACTGCTGGTTGTGAGGACTGAAGATCTTCAAGGATGGAAACGCCACAACCTATGGGGCATCTGTGTCACCCTCACAGTAAAAAAGTGTTTTGTGATGTTCAGATGGAACCTCCTGTGTTTATGCCCATTGTCTCTGGTCCTTTGTACTTTCCCTTCAGGTATTTATGTATATAAATTAATAAGATCCCCCCCAGAGCCTTCTCTTCTCCGGGCTGAACAGTCACAGCTCTCTCAGCCTTTCCTCACAGGAGAGACTCTCCAGCCCCTTAATTGTCTTAGTGCCCCTTGCTGAACTTTTTGGTAGCTCTGTATCTCTATTGCATGGAGGAGCCCAGGACTGGACCCAGCACTCCAGGTGTGTCTCACTGCAGCTCTCTCAGCCTTTCCTCACAGGAGAGACTCTCCAGCCCCTTAATTGTCTTAGTGCCCCTTGCTGAACTTTTTGGTAGCTCTGTATCTCTATTGCATGGAGGAGCCCAGGACTGGACCCAGCACTCCAGGTGTGTCTCACTGGGGCTGAGCAGAGGAGAAGGATCACCTCCCTTGACCTGCTGGCAGTGCTCTGCCTGATGCAGCTCAGGAGGCTGTTGGCCAGCCACCTTTGCCACAAGGGCACATTGCTGCCTCATTGTCAACTTGGTGTCCACCAGAACCTCCAGCTCCTCTCTGCAAAGCTGTTTTCCAACTGGGTGGTCCCCAGCATATACTCGTGCTTGGGGTTGTTCCCCTTCAGGTGCAGGACTTTGTGCTTCTCCTTGTTGAACTTCATGGGGTTCTTGTCAGCCTATTTCTTCAGCCTGTCAAGGTGCCCTTGGGCTTATTAGCCACTCCTCCCAGTTTTTGTGTCATCAGCAGACTTGCTGAGGGTATGCTCCACCACATGATCTCACTCAAATCCCTCTTTTCTTTCTCATTCTGTCCACCTCTGCATTTGCTTGCACGTGACCACATGATGGTAACCAAAGAAGCAGTGTTAAGAAAGGGATGTATGTGGTCTTTTCACTGCCATTCCCAATGATGCTAAATTGATACCAAAATAAAGGAAGCATTATGTGTTGGCAGCGTGCTGATTGCCTCCTTTGCTGGCAGCAGCAGGAGCAGGGTGACATCTGCATTATTGCTGTGGCATGTGACATTTGTTTTCTGGGGCTGGCAGAGGTAAAGAATCCAGTCAAACAACATCAGTAGGATGTCAGCAGTGCCAAAGGCTGCTGGGAGGCAGAACAGCGGGATTCCTCCGCATGGGTGGCTTTGCAAAGTGTGGGAAGGGACATTTAAACGCAGAAAACATGACATTCTGGGAACTGTCTATAAATTCCTTCATCATGCAGCTATCTAAGTGTTTAAATCTGTGGGAAGTGTCTGAATTGCTTTTCTCACTTGGTCGAGTTAACGGCTGATATAAAACTCAACCAATTTGCTTTCATGATTTCTTTCAGTTTCCTGAAGAGAAAGATCATTTATTATTACTTGTTGTCATTGTACGATCTGTCATGTGTCTTTCCTGGTTTAGGAACCTTTTTCAGATGCTTAAGGTCCAGCCTTTGTCTTAGATACACATAAATAAATCTGTTCTGGTAATTATTAGGCTTTAAAATTAGGGAGCAAGGTATTACTTTAATTGTGCAAAATTTGTTTCAGATGTAGTCTTCTGCATATTTCAAGTCTAACAGGAGATCACATATGGGTGAAGCGGATGAAGTTCATCTAACTGTATATATCAAAACTGTTCATATTTTACCTGAGAAATAATTCATTTTGTTGACTTGCTTTGTCTGTTTCCAGGTTTGGCTGACCCTAGCTGATCAGTACTTACACAGTATAGCCATTGACTGGGATAAAACCATGCGTTTCACGTTCAATGAAAGAAGTAATCCTGATGATGACTCTATGGGCATCCAGATAGTGAAGGTAGACAACTAAATTGTTGGTTTATTTTACTTTTTTTAAACGAAAATTTGAATTTATTGTTTTTTCAGTAGGTGGAGTTCGGATTTATTTTGTTCTTTGCAACTGCTTTGGCAAAAATTCCGTCTTAATTCCATTTGGCTTCCCAAAATTATTTCTTTGGCTTTTTGGTCCTCCTCCTGCACTGGTCTGATTAGTGTTAGCTGGGAACAAAAATTGCTGTTGTTCGATTTTTATTTTTATTTTCTCAATTTCTATTTTTTTTTTTTTTTTAAAAACACTTGAGTTTAATACAGACAAAGAAACATAAGTGGTTTTTTTCCCTCTTCTCTATAAATAAACACAAATGTGTGCTGGGATTAAAAAGTATGTTTTATAATACAGCAATTGAGCATTTTTCAGTTATTTTACAGGAGTGAAAACACCTTTGTCTATGTATATTTCTCAGCTAAGTAATGTTTAATATTTAAAGCAGCAGACAGTTTTAGGGAAAAGCTTAATAGATTTGTATTGCTGTGTTGACTTAAATATTAGTCTATTTACCTGTTTAGGCAGTATTACTCTAGGAGAGATTTTGTTCTGTTGTCATCTCAATTAGAGTACACAAAGCAAAATACTTTATGTTCCTGATTATTACAATTGTCATCTGTACTTCGTAATTTAAGCTTATGGATGTTACATATGAAATATTAAACATTGCAGTACATGTTTTGCCTTTTACTTATAAATAGCTTAAATCTCAAAGACACTCTTTCTGCTTTTTTATGGTTTGAAAATGTAGTTGCCTAGTAGTTCTTTTATGCTTCAATAAAAACAGCTACTCATTTTTGTTCAATTAAGCAGCTGTTATGTCTTGCTTCTTTGAAACCCAGATAGATGTTAGTATCTTCTGTGACAGCTTCATATGAACATCTTTTAGGTAACTTGTTTATTTAAGACCTTTCTGAAGCTATTTCTCTTCAGTAAGCTAAAGATATACAGATTAAGAAAGAAACATTGTCATCGACTTTGAGAGTATGTATTGGGAGGGTGGAGGTGGGAAGAAAACTGGGACATGCACAAGAACTAAAGGGGGAAGGAAAATGCACATCTTTTCTGTCTGTTCTTGTCTTTTTCTTTTTTTGTTGTTTCTTTTTTCTCTAAAGGACCTTCACCGAACTGGTTGCAGTTCTTACTGTGGCCAGGAGGCAGAGCAAGACCGAGTGGTATTAAAACGCGTTTTGCTGGCGTATGCTAGGTGGAATAAATCTGTTGGCTACTGTCAAGGATTTAACATACTAGCTGCACTTATTCTGGAAGTAATGGAGGGCAATGAAGGGGATGCCCTGAAAGTGAGTAAAATATTTTTTTTTCTAGTGTTGAAGTTTGCTTTTAGTTGGTGAAAATTAGAATAAACCAGTGGGTGAATTTTGTAGACAGACTAAAAGAGCAGGACTCAAATGAGTCAACCAATTATACGTGTAGATTGTTATCCTGTCTCAGTTAAAATGAACAGTTTGAATGTTACCACTGTTAATTTTTTTTTTCAAAGAAATTAATGAGGGCTTGGCCATAATAAAAGTAAATGGGAACACCACTACTGACTTTAGAATATTTTATCCCATAATCCCAAATCTGCTTCCAAACACTGTAGGAAGCTGAAACCTTCAGATTCCATTATCAACCTCTTGTGTGGCAGTAGCATGTGAAGCAGTAGCATCTGCTGCATTTTAAAGCAAATTTTGGGAAAACACAAAATAAATATTTAAAATGAAAGTAAATTACTTTGAAGCTATTTTCTGGGCTACGTTACTCATACAGTATTTTATCTTTTTAGACCTTTTCTATTCTAATTAAAATAAAGCTTCACAAAATTTATAATATGTTAGAAAATGGAAATACAGTTTACTGCAGGATGTGGTTTAAGATTTGCCAAGATCATGTGCAAATTTCCTTAAGTAAACTTGCTCATATGTGTGAGTTGGGGTCAAAGTAGTAAAAGATGAATGTGACTCTTGAAATACTGAGCTATTTGTTTTAACTTAAACAATGATTTAACTATGGTAAATATTTAAATTCACTCAGAGCTCCTAAAATATAAAGCTTGTGGTAGCAGAGTCCAGCTAGCTGGTATTTAGTACTTCATTCTAGAGAACTCACTGTAACAGGAAAGAAATACCATAATATATCTACTTTATATCTGAGAGTAAAATTTCCTTTCAATAATTCTTGCTAAAAATTTCCTCAGTATTTTTAGCTATAATTTGTCACATTTTATTGTGATCTTATACTGTCCAGAAGCTCCTAAAATGCATTATGATAATGTAGGAAATCCGATTGCCCAGGGCTTATGAAGTCCAAATTGATTATAAGAACCGTGTGCATCCGTGTATGATTGCATTGTCTCTTACTGTGAGCGGTGTCAGGCTCCAAGTGCCAAGGAGACAAGGGAATGGCACCGGACTGCCCTGGGGACATGAAGCACTGAAGGCTGCTTAGGACCATAATGGGTCTTAGATGGCAAAAATAAGAATGGAAAAGAAAGTAATTTCTTTTCCAAGCTTAGTGCATAGTCTTTGCAGGGTTTGCATTTCCTGAGAAAAGAGAGGGAAAAGGTAAGGGGATACAAAAAAAAAAAAAAGCCCAAAACATAAAAAAACCCAAACCAAAACAAAAAGGAGCAGGGGAAGAAAAACAAACAAACACAAAAAGGAATTGGCAGTTAGTATGTGGCTGTTTTCTTGTTGTAGTCACCCCACTTGTCTAAAACAAATGATGAGTGACTTTGGAACAGCTGCAGAGGTTTTTGCCTGTAAATCTGCCGTCAGAATTGGAGCTATGGGGAAACTATGTTTGGATTATTGCAGAATCTAGGAATTAAGGGAGGAAAGGGATTCTCAGGGCTCACCAGTCAGGTCCCCTTTCTGGGAAGGGTGTTTATAAATAAAAGCTCTGTGTCTGGGAAGTGTCTCCCAGAGGCTGGGAAATAGCTGGTACTGTGGACATCGTGGGGCTTTAACAGTACAGGACCCAACGTGGTAGCTTCAGTGAATGCCCAGCCAGGGATGCTCGAGTCTTTACTAGTTAAGGTGAGCATGTTTAAGTTAAATCCCTGAATACACTTCAAAGTTAGCCTACTGAAGTTATGGTAAGCAAGAAAATCAGAGCTGGCAGGTGTAGAAGCTGCCAAGTGTAGAAGCTGCCAAAGAATGCATAAAAGTCTCATAGATACTGAAACGTAAAAAACCCCATTTTTTTCCCTGACATTATCGTGGGGAAATACTGCAAAGTCAAGTAATAAAAATAAATATGTAGAGATGTGTCATGAAAAAAGTATCTATTGCAAACTGGTAAATACATTAAGCTGATTTTTTAAAAAAGTATTCTCAAAATAATTCACATGCCAGTGAAATGGAATGGACCTCAGTGTTGTAAAAAGATTTCTGTTCTTTCCCCCACTCTCCTATGTCTGAGATCTCTGAAGTAATACCACTCAGTAGGAAGGGAGCAAAATCCTTTGTAAAATGGTTTCTTTAAGGTAGGGATTTGTGGCTTATAAGGAACTAATGAAAACACAAATAGTGATTGTAAAAGATCATGAAGTGAAGGTCAGCATCTTCTGTTGGGCTGATGATATACATTGACTTCTGCATATTTCTTTTGTTGCATTTGTTCATTCTCAAAAGTTTCACAGTATCCAGTTAATAATACATTACCACCCATGTAGTTGAGCTGTCTCACTTGAAACAGATGTCTGTTTAAAATGTCTCATGCTGCTTAATTTAGCACCTTTTAAAGTGACAAGATGAAATGTGGCACACGGTAACACATCACAGTAAAATGTGTGGAGCATGTATTTTAAAGAGCAGCATTTTGCATTTTGGAGAGGTGGGGAAAAAAGATGATGGGGAATATCAGTCTTCTAGTTGTGGCAGCTCACAACCAGAGAGGGGACAGTGGAACTTTCCAACAGTGTGGAGAATGTCATAAACACAAACAGCATCAGAAGTGCCAAAAGCTGCCTTTGGTTTGAGGAATGGTTCCAGTTTGGACATAGCCTACTGTGACTGTGTTAAGGGTTCATAAATTCTAGACAGCTTTAAGAGGCCTTTGTACCCTGGTTGCTTGTGGATACCTAGAGTACCTGCGGTTGCCTAAAATGATAGTGTTTGCTCCCCATATGAATGGAGACACCAAAGGCATGTGTTGCTCCTGGCTCCCAGCCATTCTTTACTGAACAGAGAAGTTTAAAATAACTGGCTCTGTAAGTCCTACATGATTATATTTCATTTTCCCCATAGATCATGATTTACCTAATTGATAAGGTGCTTCCTGATAGCTATTTTGTCAATAATCTCCGTGCTCTCTCTGTGGATATGGCTGTTTTCCGAGATCTTTTAAGAATGAAGCTTCCTGAACTGTCCCAGCACTTAGACACCCTGCAAAGAGCTGCTAACAGAGAAAGTGGAGGTAGGTTCAACAGAAAATGCTATTAAATTCTATTTTCCTATTGTTTCATCTGAGCACTGGTCTAAAGATACAGTCTTTTAAGTGTTTACATGAGTTTGTGGCTTGGAATATATATTTTAAATTAAGGTGATTCCATTGTTGATAATCTTAACATGAATAGGTGGCGCTCTCTGGAAAGAATAAAGGGGGAATAATTTGGTTCCACCACTAACTGCAAATAGAATTATGTTGACAAGGATATAAAATGTATGGAGTGACAACACATTAAAACACAGTTACAAGTACACACACGGAGTACAAGGGCTGCCCTGAAAAGGTTGTCTCTTGCCTTAGCTCATGATACCAGTCGTACCATTACTCCTTGTGGTGGTTAGATTACATAGCTGTTCTGGGAAGAGATACAATGTGAGACCCAATGGTGGCTGGTTAGTATTTCTTCACCTGGATGCTTAGCAATGCACAGGTGCAAAATTCAGAAGTACTTCTTTGGTTGCTACCTGAAAACTGGCTTTGCACTGTGGTTTTTTTTTTTTCCTGGTATAGGATTCCCTCTTTTTTTTTTTTTTTTTTTTTCTTTAAAACAGGATAGAGCTGTTTTATTTGGGAGTATTTTGGGTTTGTTGTTTGTTGGTTGGGGTTTTCTTCAGTCTGGAAGCTAAGTGCAACCCAGAGTTCCATCTTAGAAAAGACCTGCAACCATGGTCCATGTAAATAATCTGTGATTGTGCCCAAACTGTGCAAAAACAAAGAAAGGGTATCAAGGAGGTCAAGGAGGTATTTGCTGTTTGAAAGTGTTTTCACAGGCAGCAGCCTCTTTGGTCATGGCCTTCAGTGATATCATATCAACTGATAGTTGATACTAGGATGCACAAAGTGTTCTCCAAGCACAACAGGAAAGTAAAACTTAAAAGTTTCAGGCTGACATATTAAATTTTGTCTGAAACTTGACAAAAGGAAAACTGAATGTGTTACAGTCACTTTTGCTAAGCTGGCAGTGTATCAGGATTTTAAAGCAATAAGTAAAATTTTACAGAGACAGTCACCTTCATGTAGATAAAGACCTCTTATGACATTAGTTTCTGAAGAAATTGAGTGGGTTTTGGGTGGTTCTTTTCTTCAGTTTTTTTGTTGGTGGTATTTTTGTTGGTTTGTTATTTTTTTAATAAAAGCTTTTAGCTCATATGGCTTTGGGGAAGGAAAAGCAATCTTTCTAATATAAGGGGGAAAAAAAAAAAGTGTGGTGCTGTTTCCCGGGGTTTACAGTCCAAAACCAATGCTGCTGCTTAGAGCTTTTTTGCAGTGCAGCAGAATGAAAGGTGACGAAGTAAGTAAGTTTCGAGCAATAACAGAAGTTATTGCTCGGACTGGAATGTCTGGTGGATTTCAGTATGCGGTTTATACTCCTTGTAAAATAATAGTAAAGCATTTACTATTAAGTAAATTTAAGCATCTTTTTTTGTTTTATTTCAGGAGGATATGAACCCCCACTTACAAATGTCTTCACGATGCAGTGGTTTCTAACCCTCTTTGCCACTTGTCTGCCTAACCATACAGTTCTGAAGATCTGGGATTCAGTATTCTTTGAAGGCTCTGAAATTATACTGAGAGTGGCTTTGGCTATCTGGGCAAAGTTAGGAGAGTAAGTGGTCATTTTTATTTGAATTTTCTTCTCAGTATGAGGAATGGGTGTAATTCGTGGTGTTCTGAAAAGCAGGTTCTCAATTCTAAACAAGATGCAGTCTTTCAGGAGAGCGTGCAGCTTTTTCAAAGCAGAATCAAAGGCTCTGTGGCTTCCCCATCGTGTCAGGATGAGCATGATAATTAATTGACCCTTGCTGCAGGAAGTGTGTCCAGTTGTTTGCATTGTTTGTGTATAATGTCTTCATGCTATGCTAAAAGATTGATTGGACTTTCCAGAACATAGACCTCTGAGGGAACTGGTAAATGCTCTGTGGAAAGACAGACAGATGGACTTGAGGGTGACTAGCTAATTTAGTTTGGTACCTGAAGCTGGGGATGTTAATTCCCTTATTTTCACTTAAAGACTTAAGGATTTAAGCCTGTTGGCTATACGCAAGAAGAGAGTTCAGTGTTACTAAGAGAATGACTTAGTGTTACATGGTTCTTTTTGTTAAACCCTGCAGACAAATTTTCCTGAAATTCTCTTTTTAAGCACATTCTAGTCAAGTTTCTATTATAGTCCTTTATGACCTTGGAAACTCATCACGTAGTACAAAACACAAGAAGTGGTTAGTTCTTCTAAACTCCTTTGTTGTCATAGCAAATATTTGCATTCCAAAGAGTGTACAGTGCTCCTGGAGGAATGGGTTTTGTCACTGACTTCAGTGGGAGGTGTGAGCTCTGACAGGTCGAGCAGATGTTAGTTCAGCTGGCATCAGCAGCTGCATCACGTTTTTCTTGTGATGCCTATCAGCACTCACCTTCCTTTTACCCCTGAGACTGAAGCACTGGGATTTATGTTCAGCTCTGTCCTTGGAGGTTTCGTTTCTTTTTTTCTTTCTGAATAAATTAGCACTACAGGCCAGTGGCATTGTAAGAGACTTTGTGTAGTATATTTAATTTTTAATCTGAAGAATAATAATTAGAATAATAATTTCCTAAGAGCTTTATTCATTCGCTTCATGAATTAAACTTGCATGAATCATTTGCATTAGGATTAAACTATATGTAGTCCCATTGTGCTTTATTACTTTATACCATACCTTTAGATAAAAGGTCCTATTGCAGTGGGTCTCTGTGCACTTAAAAGCTATAATTAAAAATGTTCCAATTCCTAACATGATAAAAAGAAAGTCGGCGCTTTGAAGATTTTACCGTAAAACTTAAAGCAAAAATGAAACATGTTTTAAGAATATGTCCAAAAGAATAAGCTGATCACATTGCACACCATGTAACTATTGTTCAGGCGGAAGGGGAGAAGGTCTGACAGATTTGGGGGCAGTTAACAGAAAGGGACACTGGTGTGTTAACTCAAGATCCAGAAGACGATGAGTCCCTAAAACTGAACAAGAATTGACATTCCGTAAGTTTGTAATCAATGGTGTCAAATGGGGGTAAAATGCCTTTGCCAGAAGACTGATTTTGTTTGTCTGTCTTCTCTGCTAGAAATAGAACGGGAGGATTTAAAGAAGTGGGGCCTGAAACAGTGGCCATAGTCTCATGATCTTCATACTTCTCAAGACTATCTTTCTAGACTTGAAAATGGGGTGAGAAGTGCTTTTCCTAAGATGTGGGTGGTTCAATCATACTTCTGTTTTGAGGAAAATTTAAGGAATGGGGAGGTTAAAAATAGGTGCAGCAGAGAAAGCAGTATGTGGAGGTCATGAGAGACTGAAGGTATCAGGGTAGGTAAGCAGCAAGTTTGTCGTAATTGGCTACATACCCATTGTATCGATGCTTTTTGGTTTTTTTGCTAAATCATTCTTTTAGCTAAACTATGTTAAGATTTCAGTGTGGGTTTCATAGTTTAATGGTTTTTCTCCATAGACACTGGAGATCAAGGGAGACTTCCTCTTCTAATCCTTAAGAAAAAAGGCCATGTGCTTTTTGATCATTCCAGCAGCTGAATTTTACAGGGGAGGCTACAATATGTAGCCAGCAATGCACTTTGGGATAAAAGTAAAACGAATTTTTCCCTTGACAGGAGTAGATGTTTAGCCTCTGACCCTAATGTATGTAGAACAGCAGCTCACAAAAACATATTACTCATATTCTTTTAAACCAAAAACCCCAAACCCAAACCAAACCAGAACAAACAAAAAAACCCAACAAAAACCTCTGCATCTCTAATTTAGAAATAGCATTCACAAGTATGCAGTATATGAGTGAATTTTCCTTCATTATGTGACGGCAGCTCTTTTGAATACAATGACACACATAAGTACACCTATACCTAATTTACTCCACCAGAATATTTTCTGGCCAGTGAATATGTTCCTGTCTGACAAAAGACAGTTCAACCAGTGAATTCAGCAGTGAAGATTGGGTGACGAGGCAGTCAAGAAATCTTTATGTTCCCTATTTGAGCTGATAGTAGTAGGAGGCAGGAGGCAGTAGGAGCCTCATGGTAGTAGGAGGCAGGATTTATTGATTCTCATGTTGTAGGAGTGAAGGGCAGAGGGAATAACCTGCCTGGACATGTGTGAATCCTTTATCGTGAGCAGTCAGGACAGTAAGCTGTGCTCAGTACGTCCTTTTACTGCACCAGTATTTCTGATGTGATGTGCACAGTTTTATTATTTGGAAGTGTAAGTAGGATTACATTAAACTTAAGAATTAAGGTGACTAATGGAAGCACATATTTTATCATGACAGAAAGCTCAGTTTTGGTTTGGAGGTGTATAATTGTATGTAAAAGTAAAATAAAAAATCAACATGTATTTTGATGTAGGCAAATAGAGTGTTGTGAAACTGCAGATGAGTTTTACAGTACCATGGGCAAGCTGACCCAGGAGATGCTGGAAGACAGTCTGATTGACAGCAATGAACTCATGCAGGTGAGTAATTGTGATATAATTATTGTTTGTGTTTTCTGTGCATCCTTCAGGTGCTGATTTCTAACAAATTGCGTTTTTGTTCAGGTACTACAGAAACCTAATCTATCCCAAGATTATAGCTTTAAGATAACTGACATGAGCTAGCATGTCAATGAAACAAGTAGATGGCCTGCAGTTAAAGCTAATATCTTATCTTATACATTGAGTATAGAGAACCACTAGGCTCCATTTGATAAAAATTGGTTGTGTGTTGACAGCTGAAAGTTTGTTGTGTCCAGTTGGATTTACGCAAGTAAGATGTAGAATCTTTTAGTAGTCATAATTTTTGGGGTGTTTTGTCTTTGTTTCGGACAGTTATTTATTTCATTGTATCCTTTTCATTCTGCAGACACTGTGGGAGACAAGAGTTTATCAAATGAGACGAGAAAAAAATCATTCATCGTTTTTAAAAAAGTAGCTATCAACAGTTGTCAGTGAACTATAAACAAAGACATTTGTAGATAATTGCAGTCCCTGAATTCTTACAGCATACGCCATTTTATGAGAACAAAGATCCACATTGTTCTGGGAAAGGAAAGGGACTTCAGTGTAACAGATGTAACTGTATTGATTTGCACTTACACTTTTTTTTTCTGATATCCTTGAGGTGTTGGCTACTTAGATGTTTTATAAAGACTTCATGCTATGGCTCTGGAACTTTGCTTTTGATGAGTTAAAGTATGGTGTGATTAAAGGGTTGCAAATACAGAGCACAGAATTCATCTAACATTTTTTACCTGACTTAGGGGAAGGAAAAAGTCAGTTTCAGTATATGAAGTTGGATGAGTTTAGAGGAGTTAGCAGGTGACTTCTGTTACCTATTATTGGAAGGAAAACTTCTTGACTGTCTGGGATAATAGACTTCCATTGTCTGATGAAGTAAAGGATCACTTTCAGATTTTTGGCTTTTGCTATTGCTGTTGTTTTGCTCAATGAGGGAGCTCTAGGGGTGAGAGGTGAGCACTGTGGCTTTGTTTTGCTTCAAACATGGAAATGCAGGTGGTACTCACATGCTTTTAAAATAAGTGTTAAGGTTTCTCACAAGGCAGTTTAGATATTGAGGATGCATGAGGAAGATGGCACATGCTGAAACCTTCTCAAATTCATAATGTTTCAGTTCCTGGTCTGAGGTGCAGTACAAAATCAAGATGTGGCATTTGTGACAAAGAGTACTGTTGGGAAAGCTGAAGTAGGCTTTAGTGACTTAACGTGGATTTCTTTCATTGCTGTTGTGTCTAATAGAAGACAAGGCAGGTACCTTACTGGTTGGAGGGATGGAAGGATCTTTTTGAGTTTTTAACCATTGCAATTAAAAGTATATTAAATTATCGGTGTTTTTGTGCTTCAGCAAAAAAGAAGCACTTGGTGCTTCATAGTGTACATGTATATTTTGTGGCACTGACAGGAGCGTTGAGGTAGGTGGGATAGCATTGCCATTGGTATGGAGAATGTGGCAGGTTTAAGTTTTCTGCATAGAGAAGCAGTGTGTCTGTGTTTAAGATAGTATTCCTCAGGTCAAAGGCAGGCACTGGCAGCGCAGCCATCTCCACTGGGGGTGTTCACTCCAGGCTCTCTTTATTGTAAGTGGAGAGAATGAGGCACTATGACTGTCATTAGGCGATATGAATGCCACCATGTGCCTGCCTGCTGCATCTGAACAATTTTCTCTGTGCTGGAGAAGAAAATAAAGAAATATGAACCATTGTGTTAATGAAAGGACATAGGCTGCTTGAAGACAGTGGTTTTTAAATTGCTTTAGGGGTTTTCAGACGAGTCAGCCAGAGAAAAATGTTTAGACCGCTTTGTTTCCAAAATGTTAGTTCTTCCCTCCCACCCCCAAATCGAAAGCAGATCGGTGAATTTACATCTAATACTTTTTAAAAGTAGGCTCAAGGATTAGTATCTCACTGCAGGAAAGGATTACTATCCTGCTCTGCCTTCCCTACACATTTCAGTAAAGGTTGCTGGTGGCCATCATCTCACTTTTCTTTAGATTTGTGTGATGCTTACAGTTGCATCTGAACTACCTGCACAGGCTCACTTGAGGCAGTGAAGAGTGACAAGCCTTTCTCTGCCACTAGAATACAAATTGTGTTCTAAAAGGCCTGTTTCCTTTGGGAGTTGGAAGAGGGAGATATGGCTTCAGGCCAAGTGTTGACTGAACAGATGTCTAAAGTAGATCAGAGGACTCTTGTCCTCATTCTCGCCACCAACACATAGAGTTGGTGCAAGTTTTACCATTAAAAACGCCTGCCCGCAGACAGTACACATACCTAGGACTGAGGGCTTAAAGCTTTTGCAGCTTTGTCCCTTGCATGGCAAGAGTTCTTATGATGATGTGCTGAGGAGAGCATGGGGGATTGGAGGAGCAAGCAAGCCTACAGCTTCCTCCTTTTCCACATTGAACAGTTTAGGTAAATAAAGGGTAAGTGCTGTGCACATCAGATGTTAGACCCAGTATGTACTCAGGACTAGAAGTAAACAAATGTGGTATTTGGTAATGTCATTTTATTGGCCTATTAATAACCTTTGGTTCTAACATGGAGACAGAAGGCTGTACGCCAGGTGTCTGCAGATATTCTAAGCAGCGTGTGCTAGACAGAGTACACACTTCCATGCCTTTCCTGAAAGCGAGCGTTTTTATGAGCAGCTAAACTAATTCAGTTTGTATGCCTAGAAACATCCCAGCATAGAGGAGGTGAGAAGCAAACAGGAAAAGGAGAGGCATCCCTGTGTGTTTGCTGTGGTGGAGGGGAACAGGGATTAATCCCTCTGCAGAACCCTAGCGTTTTAGACTATCTCCTGTAGGCAGTTGCCCTAGTTTGATGGTGTTCACTGTTAACTTTCTACTTCAGTAGCACTTTGTCTGTTTTCTTATGTGTTTGTTTTTGCTTTTTGTTTTGTTGTCTTAGTGAAAGTGAAGAGAGGAGCCTTAAACCAGGGTGGGGTGGCTCTTTAGATAAGTATGTTTGGGCTGTCTGCAAAGGCAAAACTGCTTACCCTCTTCTAGAAGCCACAGCCCAAAACCTTCTGTATGCTATTCTGCTGAGGGAGTAGATGGCTTCGCATTTTTAGGGTAAGGCAGAGGATTGGCAAATGCTACTGATTTGAGGTGAAAAGAGAAGGTTTTTTCTTGTCTGTCTCTGTTGGGTTTTTTTTATTTTATTTTTTTATTTCCAGAATCTGTCCCTTATGGCCATAAAGAAAACTATAATAAGGTTGGCTGCATCATGCTCTATATGTGTAGGTTATTTCCCCCTGGCACAGTTTCACCAGAATTAACCAAATGGCACCCAAGGCCGTGTACAAACTAGGAACAGGATGCTCTGACTCTGAAGCATTGCTGTGAGGAGATCACGGGTGTTGATTGATGATATTTTTTTAATTTCCAGTGGCACTTGCATCAGCATAAAATTTGTTTGTGGATCTCGTAGCCAGGTGGCAAGTGAGGCCTCCAGTTATAATCTGATAACAAGTAATTAAGTTAAAAATGTGCATGCTAAATGAAAGGAGTTGCACAGGGTTTGGAAGAGACACAGACTGGAGGCAGGCAAAAGCTAAAAGCATAATCTAAAACAGTAGGTGCAAGGAGTAAATGGAGGGCTCAGAGTCGACTGTTTCACTTAAAGGGTAACTAGCATATGGAAAAAGTTACCTGAAAAGGCTGTTGACATAAAGAGTAGAAATAAATTCCAGACACACCTACTTCTCTGTGAAGGGAGAGAGTTGAGACATGGTGGGGGTGGGTGGAATCCAGGAAAGTGTGGTGGAGATCAAACAAACAGGCAGGCATGTTGGGCCAGAGGTGGGTCTTTCTCCAGATCATAAAATTCCTTCATCTGGTAGACTGCCGGGATATCACTGTTCAGGCCCTAGAGAATATTTGTCTTTCACAGTAGCATTGCAGTTTCATGGAGTGGCAAAGCTTCGATTCATGCCCTGGGTTTTTGCCTTAGAGCCTGTGCATGGCTTGAGCTGTAAAGGCATTTTCATGCAGGAGCCTGTTAAGCTGCACTGTTGCCCCATGCCTGATCCAGCCAGGAGTGTCCTTCCTGCTCCTCATGGCTTAAATCATTACTGTTGGTGAAATTATTTTTTTTTTTAAGCTTCTGTCAGGAAATGTCTAATACAGAATTCATGTTTGTGATTTTCCTTAGTGTATTTAGCACAGACAAGGCACAGTTCAAGAATGGATTATGTAGAAACTGTTCAAAATTCCCTTTCATCTTAATTGAGGCAGTTTGCCTTCAGAGGAAAATGTATCTGATTTAATAGCACAGGCAGGAAAAAAAAGAAAGTGAAGATTTCCTGTAATAGCTGTAAGAAATTTTTTCATTGCTGTCTTTTGGAAGGCATTTAATTTTCAAGACGGGGGAAAAGCTATAATATTTCAGAGAAACTATGAGAAATTATATGTGGCTATTTTTTTCTTTTTACTCTGACATTGAGACTCCCGATAAATTGTGTGTCAGTTATTTGAAAGTCTGAATAGTTGTGAGTGTACAAAAGAGGGGGGAAATATGTAGGAATAAATCAGCAGTGGTATTACAATGAATATGATGTGTCTTTATGCCAGGTTGGCTGGTGGCACACATTCTGTTATTACAAAAAGACCTACAGCAAAAATAATGCTGAAAGCAAATGTGTTTGCAACTATTTATCTTCTTTAATTCTGAGTATTGAAGTAAATAAAAGGTATTAGAGGTTTTTATGGCCTTGTTTAAAGTTCTAGGGACTATGTACCGAGTTCAGAGAATTGCAGAGAGGTTTCTTTGTTCACCACAGAACAAATGTCTTTTAAAAATAAACCCAGCCACTGCTACACTCCCCCCCATGCCTCCCCCCAAAAATCCCTCTAGAAAACAACAATCAAACCCAGAAATTGAGAAAAGTTAGCTGGATCAATTTGGGTGCTTCTTCTTTGCCCATATCTTTTGTGTTGAAGTGATTTCCTTCACACAAGCTCTTGGGGCTGCTCAGGTGAAGTAATGGATCTGTTAACTGTCCACATCAAGTGAGGATTTGCTCCTTCCTGTCTGTGGTAGTGTCAATACTTTGGTCAATACTTGAGCAGAAATACAGGTCTTCTGGAAGATCCCCAAGACCTCAATGAGGTATTCATGTAAGTGAAATCATAATTGGAGGAGGATGATTTCTGGTTTGCTGGCAAGGAGAGGTTTGACAATGATTATTAAATAAGTACAGGAGTTGAAAATGACCCTGCATTTCATATTATGTAGTTTTTCATGTCAGGTAGTTTTCTCGTGAGTCAGTCTTTATTTTTCTTACAGCAAATACTGAATCATAAAACTAGACCATTTCCATTTTCTTACAGCACATGCAAACATGTAGCCTTTAATCCTGCAAGACTGTGAAAGTCTGTTCATGGGAAAATCTTTTGTAGCACTGTTAAAGCAAAAATTTTAAAAAGTGCATTTTTTTTTCCCCCACCAGACTGTTTATACCATGGCTCAGTTTCCCTTCCCTCAGCTGGCAGAATTAAGGGAGAAGTACACATACAACATTACTCCTTTCCCTGCAGCAGTTAAATCAACTTCACTTTCAGGGTAAGTTTGAAATGGACTGCTTATGGCATATAGGGTTTACCCTACACAGATAGTGAAAAGGTAAGTGGCATCCTCCCTTGTATGCTCCTAAAGAACATAAAGATGTTTGGTAATGATCATATTTAAGAATGTCTCTTTCTTTTTTCTCTTATGTTCTCATTTGGCAGAAGGCTAGGCAGAACCAGAGACAGTGATGAGGAGAATGACCTAGATGATGAAGACTCAATTGCCAATGCAATTGGCTGTCTTGGACCATTGAGTGGGTTTTTGGCACCAGAGCTTCAAAAATACCAAAAACAGATGAAAGGTAAAAATACTTTTGTTCATTTGGAAAACATAGTTAAATCTGCATGACCTTGAAGAAATTGTCTGTATCTTCCTTTGTGAAAGTCCCTATGAAAACTGTTTTATACTGGAGTAGAGATTACAGCAGGTACTGAATTACTTGCTCTGCAGTCCGTGACGATGTCTTCAAAGTCAAGTTTGAAGGCTGCATGTATACAATACATGACAGTGTGGGTTAAGGATTTAGGTACAGTAATAGTTAAAAAATCAACCCCGTAGTGTTGCCCACCTGCTAAAAAGCAGCACAAATTTGGAAAGAAAGTCCACCCTAAATCCATGCTTATTTCCAAGAAAGCGGTTACGTAGTCATCATTTTCTAGAAGAGTGTACATGAAATAAATAATCTTAACCTTTAGGAGCATATGCATGACTAATACTGGAATCTGTCAGTGGTGGGTGAATTCTGTAGGTCATTTTCACTACCCTTTTGGCTAAACTTTCAGATTGTTACATGTTTTGGATATGTTCATATTTTTATAAAATGGGCTGTGGTTTAGGGTGTTCTATCAAAATGTCACTATTTTTCAAATCCCTCCACATTGTAATAAAATTTCTGACGGAATTGTATGTTCACCTGTGCAAGCTCTACAAGCAGAACAAAGTTCTGATCCGTACAAGAAAAGCGGATCATTTGTTAACTTGCAGCAGCCTTTATGAAATGGTAATGGATCAGCAGTGATTTTATGATATCTCGGGAGAGGCTGTAGTTATTTATTCCCAACCCGCCCCCACCTTCCCCACAAGAAAGCCCAGACTGATGTAGCAGTCCCTGTTAGCTGATTACACAGCGTCATTCTCGTGGCTTGGCTTTGCTGAGACCTATAAGCTGCAGTTTTCCTCTTGATTGCTGTGGTGTTTTGGTTTTTCCTTTCCTGAGGGACTGTAAGCCTCTACCTGCTGCTTCAAGCTGGCGCTCAGTCAGAACATCAAACTGCAGCTGCAAACTAAGCCAAAGACAAACAAACATCCCTTGAAAAAGAATTATCCCCTTGACCCTGGAGTGCCAGTTTGGTGGTGCATCAGAAGCAGCTGTGAAAATAAATTGCCCCGCTGCTGGTTGCTCTGCAGCTGTTGATCCGAGATGCTTTCAAGTTGCCTGGTCCTCAGCTGCTCTGAGCCTCTCCCTTTTGTTGCTACTGCAGCTTTCTCCCTGTGGTGCTCTAACTGTTTTCTTTGGTGCTTCTTGCTGGTATCACTAGGTCAGTTGCTTAATCTCACGCCTGCTTGACTGTAAGGTATTTTATAACTTGTGTTGTTTGTTAGCTTCCTCTTTGACCAGCTGAGTGTCTTTAATAATCGGTTTCTGAATTATGTTAGTGGTGGCTTGATGTACTTTTGGGTAATTGGAGAACTGTGCTTATAACTTTGTATTGCCTGTTAGTTCACTTTGGTACTCTTTAAACTCCTCTCAAACCCTTGCCATTCTTAAGCGTAAGTTCTAGAAATGTAATACTTCTTATAAATAGTGCAGCTTTGTTAAATGTGCATATGATAATAAATTTTTAATTAAGGACTACAGTTAAATAAGACAATAGGAATCTAACATAAGCTTCCCTTGTAGATTATCTGCAGAACTCTTGAGTATGCCAATTCCAATTTACTCCTCATCTCTACTTTATTCCCACTCTGTGCAGATCAGAATGAAGAACAAAGTCTGGGTTCCAGTAACATTGCAGAATTAAGTCCAGGAGCGATAGACTCTTGCCGAAGCGAGTATCACGCTGCTTTTAACAGCATGATGATGGAGCGTATGACCACTGATATTAATGCACTGAAAAAGCAATACTCCAGGATAAAGAAGAAGCAGCAACAGCAGGTTCACCATGTCTATATCAGAGCAGGTAACATACCAAAACATGCTTCATTACTGATTTATTGCAAGCTGACGTCATCGCAGGAGACAGGGCAAATAACTTTTTTACATTTAAGCAAATAGACAAAACAAGAGAGACTGGGGTATGTAACACATTAGTAATAAAACATTTATGAACAGATTGTTAATGGGAAGGTGATGTTTTTTCTTCTTTTGTCAGGATCTGAAGATGACGATCCTGGGATTTTTTTAGGTCCCAGGGACCAGCTGAACAATGGTATTTAAAAATGTCTTTGCTGTCTGGGTGCATTGTGTTGATCTCCTTGATTAAAAACTTTAAATCTTTGGCATTCTTGGAGTTGACATGCTGATGCACTGGAAAAAGGGAAACAGGGAGATGAGTACGCTTCAGACCAAGTGTCAGGCTGATTCTTTGCTGGTCCATGTTACCCAACTCCTCTGAGTTCATCTGGGCATGGCAAATTATGCAGCTGAAGAACTAGCTTAGATGTTCCATTGTGGCTGACAGTTTATGTAGCCTTAACAATACTGCTGTGAGGATTGAGCTGGACTTCAGTCCATTTATTCACAATCTGTGTTGTGGACTCTATTTCTCCACTTGGCGAACTCAGCAACGTGGGGCTTGGCACGAAGGTGCAGCTGAAGGTTTCAGTGGGTGTTCAACCTGAACACAGCCCACCCCACTCGCTCCTCCCCACTTAGGTACCATCTCTCTCTAAGTCAGCATTGAACCATGGAGATTGGTCACCCTGGAGAATTTTTATTCCTCTTCTAGACTGTTTAAACTTATCCTAGCAGGAGCATTTGAATACATACAGCTGCACTTTTTCATTAACATTACCATGATTTGTAAAGAATTTTTTTTTTTAATATTGAAGAAGTATTTGCTTTGAACAAAGGCTGTATCCAGCAGAAACAGTGCAAGCAGTAAAATGTTGATTCCCAAGGATTGCCAACCCCCATCCCCTTTCTAATCTTACTAATCATGGTGCGGGGCTGGGCTTGTGGTTTAATCAAACTGTCATCTAATTACCTAGTTCTGAGTCTACTGCTCTGGTTTAAGAGGACCAAATAGAAAAGAGCTGGTGTGGTTTATCCATTAAAAATACAATGATCCATTCTCCAGTCACACAAGCCTCATAGAGAGGCTTATTTGACTGACCTCGTATAGGAATTGAATTGGCTCTAACGGAAGAGAAATGAAGGAGACAAGAAAGATCAGAAGCTAATATTAATGTTAAACTATCAGTTACAGTTCAGTCCTCAAAAGTAAGAAGTTACTTTTGTTTTTTCCATGTTTTTTCCAAATGATTTATTTTCCTAGCATTCCTGTCTCAGGACTTACCTGTAGATAAGAAGCAGGGAGGGAGGACAGGAAATCTTTATGATAGAAGTTACAGCTTTGTGTTCGATTCCCAGATGTAAGAGAAATTTAGTAATTTTTTTTTATTATTTTTTTTTTTCCTAAATAACAGTCAGTCCTACAAACCTCAAGAAAGGCATCAAATTTGGTGGTGGATCCTTAGAACATTAATTTGTTTTGTTCTTTAACAACACTGTGTTTCTTTTGAACACTTTTTTTCAGACAAAGGGCCAGTTACCAGCCTCCTCCCTTCTCAGGTGAACCATTCCCCGGTGATAAACCACCTGCTTTTAGGAAAGAAGATGAAACTGAATAACAAGTCTCTCAAAAACGCTGTTATTCATATCCCGAGTCACGCTACGGGGAAGATGTCTCCCATTCCCCAAGACGATCTTAAAACCAAACTGAACTCCCCGTGGCGCACTCACATCCGGGTTCATCGAAAGAACATGGCGAGGGCCAAAGGCCAGCTGGGCTACGGGGATACCGTAGGCCTGATAGACGAGCAGAGCGACAGCTGTAAGACAAGTAGTCCTGGTGCAAAGGAGGAGAATTCCAAACACTCTGACTTTGGAGAAGGAGGTGGTTTGGATGACAGGACTACTCAGCAAGCGGGCCGGCGGTCGTCTGAGCCAGTCTCTCCGGACAGCAGTACGGCCATGGCGGCGGTCCAGCTGAAACTGGAAGCTCTGGAGCTCACCTCAGACAGCAAAACCCACACGGAGTCGACACCCCGTGGCTCCAGCCAGCCGCGTTTGTCCGAGTCCTCCAGCTCATCCAGCGACAGCGGGAACCGGGCTAAATCTCCCCAGCCCCCCAACACAAAGCCACAAGTCTTCAACCCTTTCCCCAGCGTCAAGCCCCTTCGCAAGTCGGCCACGGCCAGGAATCTGGGGCTGTACGGCCCCACGGAAAGAACGCCCACTGTCCACTTCCCACAGATGAGCAGGAGCTTCAGTAAGTCTGTCAGTGGCAACAGCGGGACCAGGAAACGATGATGGTGAAACTGCCTGGCGCTGTTTCTGACAGCAACAAAACAATTTGTATTGCTTTTTTTTTTTTTTTTTTAAATAATAATGTGTGTATGTGTCACCCAAAGGGTTTCTAATCTTTAAGTAAGTAATGGGGACAAAAGTGATTACCAGATGTATAAATATGTGTCTTTGAAAATTGTGCTCCTGTGGTGTTATGGGATAGATTAGTGAAGATGCACTCTGGCACCCTGTTGTCGATTCTGATGGTTCTGTGGTAAAATAAACATTGATTTGCAGTGTGAAGCATAGTGTTTCTTTTACTCTAACTTGGACATGAAAATCACCGTCTGCCTTTAACCCCTCGGCCCCCACAGCTGCCTCCTGTCTCTTTCAAAGCTTGAAGGACAAGTTGTCTGGTGCGACAGACAGGTGTAACAGTTTTGATGACTGTTGTGCAGCCACCCCCTTAGACCTCACCATCACGCTCTGCGAGTAGCCGGAGAAGCCATGACTAACAGAAGCACAAGCAGCCCCAGCGATCAAAAATACCCTTTGGTGTCCGACATTACCACTTGCCTACCAGGCCATCTGCCTAGGGACCTTCTTGAGCAGCATTTTGTGCTTCTCTTCCCACAGCAGTCCCCTCCTGATATTGTTTCTAATATAAATGTAATCAGCAAGCATGAGGGTAGCAGGCATAAGTCCATCCACAACACTGGTTTGCTCCTTTTCTCTTTACAGATGTACATACACACATCTCTAATACTTACTGCTGGACAGTGGCTGCACTGCAAAATTAGGAATTAGGTACAACTATATTCATGTAGTTGTATGAATATTATGGCATATCTTGGCTTCAGTGGATTTAAAAGCTATTATCTTGTAATTAAATCATATTTGCCAGCTTAGCAGTAGGTAAAATATATGAATGTTTCAAAGTAGTTTAGGGTTTTAAATACTATATATAGAGTGATTAGATACTTAGGGTGCCACTTATCATTAAAAGCCAATACATCAGCCGCTGTGTGAGTGGGATGGACCAAAGGTCTCCATGGCTTGGTTCTGGTTTGGTGGGAAAGAGCAATGGCAAAGCGATAAGCTTGAGTATAAACTTCTGAATTAAAAAGCAAAGCTGGTGAATACCATAAGACAAGTACTTTAAGTACTTTTTTTTTTTTTCTCTATACATTAGGCAGGCAGAGAAACTGAATGTGAACAATTCTATTTCAGGGTTACAAACTCAAGCACTCCAAAAAATTCAGGTTGCTCTTAAAAATATTACATCTCTGCTGAACTGTATGTGTTGACTGTGATTCGTTACCTTATTGCTTCCAAGTTTCCCATGACATGAAAGTGCCATTATTTTAAAGTGGAGTAAAAGCAGTAACGATGTATGAGCCCCATTGTATGTAGTATTTTACTTCCTCTTTTAAAATTCTGTGTTAAATTTGCAAATTAATATATCATTGTCTATTTATTAATGTATCCCATGACCTATGGGACGTTATGTTGGTTTTACTGTATGCCATAACTTACAAGCTGTACAATATACCCTGTTTATTGTTGTGGGGACAGGTTTATTTTGTTGTTGTTTTATAGGAGTGTATGCATATAAAATAATATACAAGTATGAACACTATAAATATAAAACAGATGTAGATCAGGCCTTGCCCCTGCCTTATTTTCAGGTTATAGTAGTATTGTCACTAATGATTATTTATAGTGCTACGTAAATTTAAAATAATGTAGAATTTAGTCACTGATCATGGACAATACGAGAATTGTTTCTGCCTTGATTTAGAAGAAATGGACTTCTCAAAATTTTACTGTGAATCATTCTCCCCAATTTTCCTTAGCTCCAGTGTATCAGGCAGCTGTATACTGAACAACAAACGCTGAAAAATAAAAGGACTGTCATTCTGCAGAAACAACTGCAACCTCTCAAGTATGTGCATGAATTTCCAACACGTTAAGATGGGATTAAGCAATGGAAAATCAGCAAGCTTTGCACAGGTCTGGGGAAAGAAATGCCAATAAAATACTAATTCTAGTGATTCAGACTGACTCAGTAATTGATGAGCGTGCTCTGAGGGGCTCGTACTCTCCTTGAGCCCTTAGGATTGGGGGTGAAGGAACCGTGGCAACTCAGTGCATTGGTTTGATGTGGTTTGCTGCAGGAAATGTTCTTTAATTACTGCTAGATGAGAAAATGGAATGTCATTTTAGCTGTTTAGTACCTCAAAGGTTGTTCACTCTCTGCTTGAAATCTGTGTTGAGCACACAGCGAAAGCAATTTCATCACTTGGTCCTGAGGTGGAACATCCTCAGATGAGGTCCAGAGAACCAGGATACTCCGGAGAAGTTCCCAGTTATTTTTCCCTAAAGAATCCCTTCAGCAGACGAGGTCCGGTGATGCCGCAGTGCTCGGAAGAGTGGCCCTGCAGCAGTGGGACCTCAGGAAGCACAGTGGTGGAAGTCTCTGCTGCAACAACCTCTGCATATTCTCCTCTTTAAATTCCTTGAGTCTTTTTTTCTGATAAAGTGTTTTTTTAGGGTCAAATTGACTTTTTTTTTCTGAGAATGCTCTTCAGCATCATCAAATGGAAGCTCTCAAGGGATGGATGTTTGATTTAGTTTTGAGGACACTTGCACTTTTGCAAGTGGAAACAGGACTGAAGCTATTCTGAGAATTCAAAATTGCCTACACTTTTGGGGTAGAAATGGTAGATGTTAGAAATAAGTTTTTCAGAATTGCAAGCAACTAACAGTTGATTTTATCTGCAACTGCAGCTAGATAAAATATAATTTTGTCTAGTTAACAAAAATAGTACTAGAATCCATTCAAAATGATGTAAGTTGTTGCTAGAAAGGCAACAACATGTTATTTCAAGGAAAAATGAAATGCAGCCCTTTACGCTGATATTTTCAATTCAGGTAAAAGTTAAGTTTCAAAATTTGAAGAGAGACTTTAAATCTGTTTCAAGCCTCCACAACAGGTATTTTAAAGCATGTGAAATTGTTCATGCAGGAGTAAGGAAATGGTGGTTTCACCCTTTTGTAGTTTTCCTTGACCTTGCAGTGAGTCACCCAGTGCTGGCCAGGGGCAGCGCTCATGCCTGGCTGAGTGGCAGGGAGCCAAAGTCACCATCATCTGACACCAGCTCCACTGAGGCATGAAGAGACAAAAATTGGTCCTAATAAATCCCTGTCCTTGTTTTGCTTTGTTTGCTCTGGTTTTACTCACTCTTTGCTGGTGGAAGATTGTTTCAAGGCAGGAGGTCATCATGGAGCCCCTGCAAGTGATGTGAGATGTGCAGTCGTCCCCGACGAGCACCTTCAGCCCTTGGGACTGGTCAGGTGAGTGGTTTCTCAAGTGTCCAGAAGCTGCTGCTGTGCTTGGACACCTCTGGGTTGGTGACAGCCTCCTTGGGGAGGTGTACTCCAGGAGGGTGGCGTGTGGGATGGGTGGATCCACGCACTGCAGGAAGAGTGAATGTGTGAAGGCTATCTTCTGCACATCCTTCCCCAACGGAGAGCCTGAAGACCCTGACTGACAGGAGGTATTTAACAAGGTTTAGGGCGCACAAGTGGTTTGCAGGGTAAGGGCACCTCAGGCTGGCTGCTGCCCAGCCTCCCCTTGCCCGTTCCGGCTGTGCTTCATCCCATGGGCAGCGTATGGCACTTGCTGCCTCACCGCAGGCTTAGAAAGAACCACAAAGGCTTCCAAGCCTTTCCCTGATAGAACCATACCAAAGCCCCCTGGGTTGCCACAGCTGAGCAGGCAGGCCTGGGGCAGTGCGGGAGGGGATGGTGGGGATGGAGGGCTTGGGAGGAGAGAAGGAGTGGGCAAAAGGTGCAAGAAGCTTTGAGGGAAAGCCAACTCCTCTGGGCCTGTGCTTCTTTTAGGCTGTTTGTTTATAAACAACCACCCCAAGGATGGGATCAGTGATGACGTGCCGCCCCCTGCCCATCCTCCGTGTCTTCAGAGTGCTCACGGGCTTGCCTGGAGCAGTGAGGAGCCGTGTCCCATGATGTCATTTTCCACCCCCCCAGTAGCCTGACGGTTGCTCCCAGCCTGTCCTGGCAGGAGGGAGACACCAGCGCAGAGGTCCCCCCCGTGCACTTCACGCCGGCTGGATTCATATGGTGAGCTGCCAAAATGGGGGACGAAGGCTGGAATCCCCGCTGGGTAAAACAGGCACTGCATCCAGAGAAGGGCAACAAAGCTGGTGAGGGGTCTGGAGAGTAAGTCTTATGAGGAGAGGCTGAGGGAGCTGGGGTTGTTCAGGCTGGAGAAAAGGAGGCTGAGGGGAGACCTTATCGTGCTCTATAACTACTTGAAGGGGGGGTGTAGAGAGGTGGGGGTTGGTCTCTTCTCCCAAGTCACAGGAGATAGGACAAGGGGAAATGGACTCAAGTTGCACCAGGGGAGGTTCAGATTGGATATTAGGAAACATTTCTTCACTGAAAGGGTTATCCAGCATTGGAATAGGCTGCCCAGGGAAGTGGTTGAGGCACCATCCCTGGAGGTGTTCAAAAGATGTGACATGATCCTCGGGAATATGGTGTCGTGATTTTTATTGCTTATTTCTTATTTATTTTTTTGTCAGAGTTAGGTTGATGGTTGGACTAGACGATCTTTAAGATCCCTTCCAACCTAGACAATTCTGTGATTGCTGTCACACCTGACTCCTCTTGGCCTGTGCTCCGGGCCAGCTCTGTGGGGAGGGTGTAGCCGTGATGACGCTGCCCCAAAACCGGGCTAGTGAGTGTTGCAGCCGTGCCAGGCCATGGCTGGGTGGAGGTGGCTGTGCAGCCCCGGGAGAAGCCGGCCCACTGGCTCAGCCCCAAGGCTCTGCGGGGCGGTGTGTGGTGGGAGCAGGGCACATGTCCCTCCACGGGGCATCTGGTGGAGACACACACCAGATACGCTGTTAAGTTACTCGCTCTCTCCTTGCCACGAGGGCATGTGCATTTTTTTCATTATCACTTGTTGGTTTTTGGACATTTTATAATTGTTGGTAACGTGGGGAAAATTTTTGAGCAGCGCCTCACTTTCTGAACACTGGAGCAGGGGAGACAGGGGTCCTTTCTGCATGGCAGCGCTCAATAGGTTTTGCAGCTGTTCCTCTCTCTGTTTGGCTTCTGCCTTCCCTTTGTGGACTCCCAGCCCTTGCTTGTGTCCATTGTCTGTGCGTTTGATGGGAGTTTTCAGGAAGGTAAGGGTATCCATCCTGGTCTGCTTAGCCCAGCATCTTTCCTCTGACCACAGTGCATCCAGGGACAGCCTTCCCTGGGGCAGCCATCCGATTTTGTCTGGGTTGTGCACATTGCACAGAGCTGAGGTGGGTGGCCCTGCCTCTGCCTCATCCACAGCAACCCAGGGATGTGCTGATCTGGGCGGTTGCATGCACAGCAGGGGCCACAAAAAGTAGCAAAATTTCCTACTTCACGTGAAAAGAATAATAATAATAATGGAGACACGGCCAGGAAACAAAAGAATAACAAACACCAGAAAATGTCAGTCTGTGTCATGGTTTCAGCTGGGATAGAGTTGGCTTTCTTACTGGCAGGTGGTACAGTGCTGTGTTTTGGGTTTGGGATGAAAATAGTGTTGGTAAAACAGTGGTCTATTTGGTTGTAGCTCAGCAGTGAAGGCCTTTTCTGCTCCTCCCACTGCCCTGCCAGGGAGTAGGCTGGGGGTGCACAAAAAGTTGGGAGGAGACACAGCTGGAACAGGGAATATCCCATACTGTATGATGCCATGTTCAGTATATAAAGCTGGGGGAAGAAGGAAGAAGGGAGGGCACATTTGGAATGATGGCATTTGTCCTCCTGAGAAACCGTTAGGCATGATGGAGCCCTGCTTTCCTGGAGATGGCTGAACTCCTGCCCATTGATGGGAAGCAGTGAATATATTATTTATTTTGCAACCTGGTCTAGGGGGAGGTGTCTCTGCCTATGGCAGGGGGATTGGCCAGCAAGAAAGAAGCAAGTTTATTCTTAGGAAAAATAGATAAGGTCTCTCGTGGCCATCCAGTGTAGGTAACAGTAAAAGTTTGAAAGGCCAGTGATTTACAGCCCACTTGCAATCAGTCACACGTGCTCAGGGATAGGAGAGCTGAGCGAAGCCCTACGAGGTGTGAACTTGAAGTTCCAGGCACCAAAAGTGGTGTCAGAAATCTTACACTTGTTTCACAGCTGGTATTTATAATTGCAGCTTTCCTTACTCTCCTAATGACATCTGTTTATGAAACGATGTTTCTTTTTCTTTTTTCCCCCCAAGTGTAGGTCCATTGCTCTATCTGCCCTAGAATACAGCTGTAAACTTGATTGTCTTCTGCTCATTCTCACACTACCAGTCAGTTGCATTAGACATCATAGCCTGTTGAACTCCAGACTACTGCGTATGATAATTTTTTCATACTGTTTCCCCTGCACTAGTAAACTTTTCACCCAGTCGCAACAATACTGCTCAGTGTCTGCCCCCCAGTGCTCTCAGAGAAGAGGCCTTTCTCCAGAGGGAACAGACGGGCTATTGTCCATTTGGCAGAGGGACTGATGACTCGGTGTTGGCTGACACGTTCTCCATCCCCGCTAGCCAGCGCTGAGTCACTGGTTTCCTTCCAGGCTGGAAAGTGTTTGTTTCTCTTGTGCAGAAGAGCCTCTTCTTCTGCCTCAGTGTGAGAAGCGAGCTGTCCCACGCTGCTGCTGAGCCTCCTGGCTGGTGTGATGGACAGAGGGTTGGTTGGGGATTTCACTATTGCAGTTTGCAAGACACAATAGTATGTTCCATAAAAGTGCTGGGATATCTGACAGTGAAGATGAGATGTTGGTAGCTGCCAGAGGTTAGACCAGGTTTGCAGCACCATAACCAGCAGCAGGTCCATGCTGTACCCCCTGGCTGCACCGTGTCTTTCTGTGTTCACACAAATCCGTGGTGATCTTCTAGGAGCGGTCACTAGATGCCACTGCTGCTCCACGCATACACAGCCGTGCTGCAGCACAGCTGCTCTTCTTGGGAAAGGCAACAGCTTAGTGCTCCCAATTTTTT